CTCAGCTGGGGCGTCACCATGGGGCTCTTTCTGCACAACACAGGTGAGACCCCCCCCTTTGATTCGGGCCCCCCAGCGAGTGCCCGGGGAGATCGCGGGGGTGCCCCGCCAAGCCAAGCCCCGGGGGAGCGATCGTGGCTTGTTGAGTGTAAGCCGCGATCTAGGTAACCCTGGTTGCTGCTCCCAGCCTAAGTGGCCCTGAGCTCAGCCTTGAGACGTTCCCTCAAAGGGTCGGCGTGATAGTGGAAAAGTCCCCGCGTGGTGCTCTCTCCCTTCTCCTTGAAAAAAACGCGTCTGATGTCCGCGCACTAATTGACCGTTGGTGAATTTGCCGATGCCGATGGGATTCTAATGGTGCTCCAGTTGTTTCAGGGACGCATCCAAGGCACCACTTGGCTATGAATGATTATTTCCCATTTGTCTCCCTCTTCCAGATCTCCGGAGGCGGCTTGAGCAGGGAGAGCTCCTTCAGCCTCTTTTGTTCACCTTGCTGGTTCTCTGTTCCGTCGTCCTGTATTTTGTCGTGTCGCTCATGAACCCAGGCTACGTGGAGGAGAGCGAGGACGAGAAGGTGGGTTGAGGAAAAACTGGGAATACTTTGGAGGCTGTTAAAAACAAAGATGTGTTTTCAAAAAAAAAAAAAAAAAAGAATTCTGGGAATTGACAGGTAAGTTACTGAGGTTGTGCAATTTTTGCTAAAGATTATTTGATGTGGTTTTGATAGGACTCAGTGACCGGAGAAGAGAAAGCCAAAACATTCTCTCAGGATCCCAGCGTTCGTCTGAGGCGGTGTGGATACTGCATGGTGAAGGTAACTCTTGGTTTCCAGGTGACATTGCCCGAGAGAAACCATAGAATCCTAGAATCATGAGGCTGGAAGGGACCCTGGAGGTCTTCTAGCCCAACCCTGTTTGAGCAGGAGACCCTATGCCATTCCGGACCAATAGCTGTCCAGTCTCTTCATAAAAACCTCCGGTGATGGAGCACCCACGACTTCTGAAACTTCATTTCAATATTCTCCTTTGTAGGTGGAATTTCCCCCAAGATTTCTGATGTTGAGGCATTTATGGAGGGGGAAAAGAATAGGAGTTAGCCAGCATGCAGTCATAGAAAGTCAGGGTTTGAAGGGATCCTGAAGGCTATCCAGTCTGACCCACTGCTTTGCCGTCTTGCAGCAACCTTTGCGAGCCAAGCACTGCCAGGCCTGCCAGCAGTGCGTCCGTCGCTACGACCATCACTGTCCTTGGATTGAAAACTGCATCGGGGAGAGGAATCACCCACTTTTTATACTCTATTTGGGGGTGCAGCTCGCCGTCCTGCTCTGGGCTCTGCAGCTGGCTTGGTAAGGGACGGGCAGGATGCCCCCAGGGGTTGGGGACCCTTGTGCTGAGTCTGAAGGGGGGACCGAGGGCCTCTCCCCCATTGCTCATCCAAATCAGGTGCTCCTGTCCAACGATACAAAGGAAGCTTTTGTGTTAGAGCAAGTCTCTCTCTCCACTTCAAAAGGTCCGGCCTGAATTTCCAGCCGTTCTCCTGGGTCTGGTTTCAGTGCCACCTGCTCCTCCTCCTCTCCTTCCTGCTCCTCCTCATCTGCACGGTGGTTGCGACGCTGCTGCTGGGCTCCCATCTCTACCTCGTCTCCTGCAACACCACCACCTGGGAGTTCATCTCCCGCCATCGCATCTCCTACCTGAAACACTGCAAGGTGGAGAACCCCTTTGACCAGGGGGTCCTCCTCAACCTCTGGAGGTTCTTCTGCGCGTGTCGCCTGGTGGCCTGGCTCTTTGAGATGGGAGGCCTCCTCTCGCTCAACCACACTTCCGCCCTCCTAGAGCTCTCTGCCTAGCCTGGTAGGATTCCCGGAATTCGGAGTTGTCTTCGAAACCTCTACTGCGGCTTCGTGGTCTAGTAGCAGGACTGATCCTCTTCCTGGATAAATGTCTTCGTAGTGGAGAAGATTGGTTTCCGATTTTAGACTGGGGGCGCTGGGGGTGAGGCAGTGGGGGGCCCTAACCCTAAAACTGGAGATCCACCATTGAGATTTGGAGATATAGAGATCTGGGCAGTTGTTACAAAGAAGAACCGAAGGAGAAGCCTATACCGTTGGGGCAGGAAGCAGGAAACGCAGGCAGCCAAACACGAAGAGGTCCAGAATCCCCGGCTTGAAATACCACAAGTCGGGGTTTCGGCAGGATGTTCGTATCGAATTGAGGCCGGGGAGACGGGCGCTCCCTGGAAGCTGAGCGGTTTAGCAAAGAACTAGGCAGCTCCACCTGGTGCCGTGGGGTTTAAGAGCTTAAAGAAAAACGGTTTTAATCCAACACTAACGTTAATAAAAGACCAAAACTTGCATCAAAGTTTATTTTCTTGGCTCGGTGTGGGCGTGTGCCAAAAGATGGAGGGTGGGGCTTAAATATGGGCGGGGCTAGAGCCAGTCACTTCCCCACGTCCAATTTTGTTCCTTCTTGCCTAACAAAACACAAAAGATGCTGGCGAAAAGAAAAAAAAAATACTTTACTCTTAGTAATGACCTATCGTACTATTTTTTTAAATATGTCTTCCACTTCTTTGTACTTATTATTTTTTTTTTCTTTTTGCCAGTGGGCAGGCAAGTCCCTCGGCTTAAAACCATTTCCTTAATGACTGTTGGGAGTGAAAGAGTCACTTATGACCGGTCCTCACACTTAACGATGTACAGGGGAACAAACAATGTAAACTCCCAGTAGCTGGGTTTCCACATTGTAGCAAGCCACAGCCAAACCACAATGGGGCTCAGGGTGTTTTGTGAATCTGACGTCGCGCAACATATCGGAGCTTTTTCTTCTTTCTTATTGAAACGAGTTTAATTTTAAATTAATTCAGTCACAGTGGAGGACCAAAAGGCAAGACACAATTGGTGTTGAACTTCCCGCCTTCTCTCTTCTGCCCCCTCTCTCCAAACAATCTGCACCCCATGCCTGGTGCAGAAAGGAAGAGAAAAAAATACAATTCGCATACATTCGTTCTGTGGCCCCTAAAAGTGACATCTCGGGAGGCGAAACAGACGGGGAAACCGAGGCAGCTGAGGCCTGTCGGCGTGGCCGTCTTGAAAGAGAGGCATTGTGCCCTGGGCTGAGTTCGGGAACTAGGAAAAGGACTCGCTTTGTTTCCAAAGCCACGGCAAGAACAGAGGTCCGTTTTGTTCGCAGCCAACGCTGGGCATCTCACGCAGTCGTCCGCGGGAGGAGAGAGGTCAAATTCCATGCCAATCAGTGCCAGCCAGAGCGTGCAATCTGCCCGTCGATAATTCTGCCTCCTGCCTAACCAGAGGTCCGATACGGATAGAGACAGCTTGGCCAGATGTGCAGACTTTCCAGCTGTGGGAACCAACAGGTGGGAGCAGATTTCCCCTCTGCAGGGCTGGAGGCTGCAGGCGGGATCAGGAGATCAGAGTGGGTCAAATTCTTCATCCTCTTAAGTCAGGGCTCTCTAAACGTGGCCACTTCAAGACTTGTGGACTTCAACTCCCAGAGCTGGCTGGGGGATTCTGGGAGTTGAAGTCTACCCATCTTAAATTTGCCAAGCTTGAGAAAGACCTACGTAGTGCAAACTACACCCTGCATTTCTAAAGCAAAGCTACATTTTTGGAGAGCCAGGTTTCTTCCTTCATCTGGTCGGAGTTGAAACATGTCATCATAAAATGCAAACAAAAAACAACCCGGAGTGTTTGGTCTCAGTCAGAAAATGATATTAAAGTTACTAGGGTTTTCTCCGAGGCTTGTGGGGATGGAGAAGAGACAAGGTTCCCAAACGCACCACTGGGATCCTCATCTTGGTTTTGGGATGTCCCATCCTGTCTTGATGGAGGAGACCAACCAAAGAAGTCCTCGAATGGAGAGTTGGTTTGTTAGCCTACTGGATCCTGCAGCAAAACCTCTGGGGGACTTGATGGAGTTTCAGAGCAGATCCCAAACTGCAGGATTGACTTTTGCATGCTCAGCTTTATCAGCCTTCCAAAAGTCACCATTTCTTTTCAAGACTCACAACTATCCATCGTAAAATCTCTATAAACTGGCCCCTTCCTCAACAATTCAGAATTAGGGGGAAGCTGATGGAAGTTGACCTTGATGCTCCATGGGGCCAGATTCAGATTAAATTTTTTGCCTGGAAAAAAAATGTAAAAAAAAAAAAAGCACTTGGAAATATCGGTTCCCCCAAACCGTGATCTGTTAAAGCTTCTCTTGAGCAGCAACTGAGGGGGGAGGATCTTGAGCAGCAGGGCAGGGATCAGGCCCACATTCAGACATTCAGGAAGTGTTGGGATAGGAAGTCAAAATCTTTAAACCGGGCTTGTTCCTCGACAGAGAGAGGGAGGGCGTCCCCGGGAGGCGTGAGGACAGGCTTTTGAGACGTGAACTCCTTGTCAAAGTTGCCGACGTCGGTGGCACTTTTTAGGATGGGCACCAAGGGTGGTTTGAGATTCCGGGAAAAAAGGGCATCCCAGTCCATCTCCTGGGGGGGAAAAAAAGAGAGAGAAAAATAGAAGTCCACTCTCCTCAACTCTTGTTAGGTATCCTCTGTCTCTGTCTGTTGCTGAGGTTGAGAAACGCTGTTATGGAGAGAATAAGGATCAAATTGCAAAAGAAATAACAGAATAACAGAGTTGGAAGGAACTTCTGAGATCTTCTAGTCCAACCCCCCCCACACACACACATTCAAGCAGGAGACCCAAACCATTTCAGACAGATGGTTGTCCAATCTCTTCTTCAGAGCCTCCATACATCCGTATAAAGTTTATACATAAATACATCAAAGAAATGGAAAGGGGCTGAGAGGGAAGAAGAGACAAATACAGGGGAGAATGAAAGGGGGTCCAGAAGAAGAGGTGATTTAAAAACAAAGGCAAAATGGTTAAATGCTCCTTTCGGGCGCTCAACTTAAGTGTTGATTCAAGAGATCGGAAAGGAAAGAAAATGGATCACTGAAGGGGGTTACCGGACGGCAGACGTGGAGGGATCTCCGTACCTTGAAAAAAGGGTGAGTTTGAATCTCTTCGGCGTCTTTGGCTCCCGCTCCGAGACGTCGCTCGGGACACTTTTGGAGAAGCTGGTGAGAAAAAAGAAGAAAGAAAAATCGGGACTGGGTTCCAATCCAGCACCAAAACTTTGCTGTGGGACCCCCGCCATGAATTCACGACGCTACCTTGTGCATAAGCGAAGTGCTGGTCTCGGAGAGGAACCGCGGGAAACGAACCTCTTCGCTGATGATGCTGTCAAACATCTCCTCTTCGTTGTCACCGGGGAACGGAGACTTGGAAGGACAGAATTCGGAACGGTTTAATCCTCGGCTTTCTCTCCTACCTTTTCCAAGGGTGTGTGTGTGTGTGTGTTCAAAACAGACTCCTCTCCACACAACAACCCTATGAGGTAGGCTGGACAGAGAGATGTTGAGTGGCCCAAAGTCACCAGCTCTTGCCGAACAGGAATTCAACCAAGAAGCCCTGGTTGATCAGTTTAAAATAATTAATTTTAATGAATAATTGAGCTCCATCTCTCTTGATGCTTAAGAAGACCTAATTAGGCTATCAGCCTTGGGGGAGGGGTGTCTTAGGAGAGGGAGGTATGTCTTGAGGTGGACATATGGATGCTGCAACAGTAGCGAGTGTGAAAAATGGCCCTAAGTCCCTTTTTCAGGACTGTTGTAACTTCATACAGTCACTAAGCGAACCAATTGTAAGTCAAGGACTACCTGTATAGAAATGTTATTTGTAAACTGCATATTTTCTGCCTGCTGAAATTACCCATTTTTCTTTTACAGCCCGGACACTCTGCGAATGTTCTGCCCAGACTGGAAATTGTGCTCACCTCTCCCACCAGCATCTCAAAAATGAGCACGCCCAGCCCCCACCAGTCCACCGCCCGGGTGTAGGACGGATCCGTCAAAATTTCCGGAGCCAGGAACTCCGGGGTGCCACAGAAGGTGCTGGTCCGGTCTCCGAAACCGACCCCTGAGAGGCGGGATAAAGAGGAGGCGAGCAAGCCTGTCAACAGATTGCAAATAGGCACAGGCCCCCCCACTTTCTCTCCCCCCCCCCGAAGCAGAGCTGCTTCTTCTTCCTCACCTTCCTTGCAGAGCCCAAAATCCCCGATCTTCACGAACCCTTCGGCGTCCAGGAGCAGGTTATCCATTTTCAGGTCCCTGCAGGAGCAGCGGCAGGGAAAACGGAGGTGGGGAGGAGAAAGGGAAGTCCGTTATTAAGGGGACAGGGGGCCAGTTTGGTGCAGCAGTTGAGGTGCTGGTGTAGAAACCAGGTGACGGTGAGTTCTAGTCCTGCCGTTGGCAGGAAAGCCAGCAATTCTATCCTTGCGTTTCGGATGTCTTACCTGTAAACAATGGCTTTCTCGTGCAAGAATTGAAGTCCTAAGACAACGCAGGCCGAGTAGAACCTTGGAAAGATTGAACGGGGAAAGGAAGATGATCAAACACCACATCAGCATCATTGAGGGCACACAGGTAGTCCTCTACTTAGGACCGGGCACTTAGCAAGTGTTTGGAGTTAACAACAACGCTGAAAAAAAATTACTTATGACTTGTCCTCGCACTTAGAACCATCGCAGTGTCCCCACAATCAGGGTTGTGATTCAGGTGTCACATCTGCAACAGTTGCATCCTCCCTGGGTCATGTGACCCTCACCTGAGACCGTCACAGCCAGCTTCTGACAAGCAGCCAATGAGGAAGTCGGCAGGGAAGGTTTCAATTAGCAGCCCAAAAAAAAAAGATCGTACAATGGGAGGCAGTCATGGGACGCCTGATTTAACGACTGTAACACTTAATGATGAATTTTCCAGTTGCTATTGTGATCGTAAGTCAAGGACTACAACCATTTGACTCGGATGGCATAGAGCTTCCTGCTTGAGCAGAGGGTTGGGCTAGATGACACCCAAGGTCCCTTCCGACTCTCTTATTCTGTGTTCTGTATTTTTCATCCACTCACCGAGTGGTGTCTTCAGAGAAATTGTTGAAGCTAATGTGCATCATGAGGTCCCCGCCGGGGGCGTAATCCATCAGGAAACACACGTGACTGGAAGTCTGGAAACAGGCAAACATGTTGACCAGGAAGGGATGGCCGGAAGAGTTGATGACTTCGAAAATACGTTTCTCACAATACAAGCTGCCAGAGATAAAATTTCAAGCAAACATCAAAAGACAATAAAGATACCCTTTGTTCCTGGAAGTGTATTTTCCCCTTCACTTTCTCCGTTCTTTCATTTTCACGAGGACTAGCGCCTTATCTAAAATGGCTTTTTAATTTTTTTTAATGATTTGTTATTTGTTTAATTTTTTTTTGCATTTTTCTGTGTTTTTAATTTTGCACACTGCTCGGAGTCCAATGAGTGAGACAGGCAGCGTATTAATTCACAAAAGTGTCTACTGTCAACCCCACAAGCTTTCTACCAGTTGTCTTTTTCATCTGGCCCAGCGGACAAGGTTGCTGGAGGGAACACCCAATGCTCCCCTCCTGGAGGAAAAACAACGGGCAAGTCTTACAAACCAAGCCACGTTCACCTGTCCAGGTCATCCCGGCTAATTATCTCCTGCTTCTTCAGGGCTTTGATGGCAAAGAGCTTCTTGGTGGCCTTGTGACGGGCGAGCAGGACCTAGAAATAAGGATCCAATCCTTTTGGGAACAGGCCAAAACCAAAACCAGTTTCCCACACACACACACAGCTTTGCATCTGCCCCACTACGGCTGAAACGACTGGATCATTTTTTAAAATAAATAAATGTGTCACATCCATTCTTGTCTGCTCGCTGTGCAGGCAATCCTTGACTTAAAACCATACATTTAGTGACGGTTTCCTGTCTCGCCTGCTTTGGGAGGCTGGAGACACTTTCTGACCAGTGACACAAGGCCATTTCCACCCCAGGGTCCTGAAACCATCACGGAAACTGGTCTGCCTGTTGTTCATTCGGAACAAGGGGAGTTGGGTGACTCGGGAACACCCGATACGGCATTAATGCAGACGGGACCCAAGTTTCATGTTGCTTTTCCAAATTCCCACTTCATAGATATTGCAAGGGTGTACCAACCCGGGATGTCTTTATCACACTGTTGGGTGGAGCCAGGGCAGTGGTGGGTATACACACACACACAACACACGCTACCTTTCCAAAATGGCCCCTGCCAAGCACCGCCATACAGCAGAAGTCTTCCAGCTGCGGAGCCGTCCTCCTGGGAGAGCGAAGGAAAATATTTAAGGCATCTAGAAAGTCCTGAAGCTGGTTCAGATCGAAGGTTTGTCATGTCTGACGTTGAATATGACTCCACAGGTAGTTCTCGACTCACAACTGTTTGTTTAGTATCTGTTCAACGTGACAATGGCACCGAAAAAAAGTGATATGGTCATTTTTCACACTTAACAATCCTTGCAGCATCCTCGCGGTCACGTGATCAAAATCCAGACACCTGGCAACGGGCTCATCTTTATGACGGTTGCAGCGTCCCGGGGGGTGTCACGTGATCCCCTTTTGCGACCACCCGACAAGCAAAATCAATGAGGTGAGCCGGATTCACTTAACAACTGGGTCACTAACTGAACAACCTGCAGCAATTCCCTTAACAGCTGTGGCAAAGAAAGCTTGTAAAATGGGTCAAAACCTCACTTCACTGTCTCACTTAGCAACAGAAACGTCGTAAATCGAGGACTGCCTGTATCCGTCCTTCCTACCCCCACCCAGCTGGAAGGTACCAACTGCAGCAAAGGGGATTTAAAGCACCTGCCGAAAACGCAGCCAAGTTAGTTAATGCTTCTCGTTCTCTGGTTCGTACCTGATGACGGTTTGTTGCAAGTTGCCCGTTTTTCCATGGAGGAGGGGAGTCTTCTAAAAATAGAACACAAGGAGGAATGGAGACCACTGGGTGATCAACAAACTTTGGGCCGATCGGCAGGAGATGGTGAGTTCTAGTTCTGCATTAGGCAGGAAAGCCGGCTGGGTGACTTTGGGCCAGTCCCTCTCGCCCTCTCAGCCCAGCCCACCTCAGAGGGTTGTTGTCGTGGGGAAAATAGGAGGAAGGTTGGTTACCATGGAAGGGGTGGAACTCAATAAATATTTTTATTATTTTCGCCCTATCTTTATTTATTTTATTTTATTTTATTTTTCGTTCACTGGCCGGTCAATAGGGAAATCCGTGACCCTTAGATGTTGAAGGGGTTGCCTTCGTGTCTGTCCTCCCCGTTTCCCCTTTGAATGGGGGCCTAGGCACCCTCCGCTCTGCCCAAGCTTGCGCGAAAGAGGCAGAAAGAGGCGAGGGGGCTTGGGGGGTGGCTGGCCCCCCCGGGTCAGCTTCTCCGGAGAGGCAGGGCTGCATCTGGAAGAGAGGCTCTTTTTTAAACATTGGTAAACCCTCCCTTCCTCTCCAAATGTCTCGGTCAGGCTCGCCCGCCTAACACAGGCCGTCTCAATTTACAGCCATTCGTTTAGTGACCATTCAGAGTTACAACGGCACTGAAAAAAGTGGCTTACGACGGGGTCCTCGCACTTCCAACCATCCAGGATCACAGGATCAGAATTCGGGCAACCGGCCTGTATTTAGGGACGGCTCACCTGGGCGCGCAGGGCCCCGGGCTGTCCTCAGCAGCAGCTGCAGAGCCAACATCTGGATGCAGAGACCCCCGGAAAGGGGGGCTGGAAGCGCTGAAGGAACTACAAGGGGGCAGGAGGCTCATCATCAGGCGTCCCCAGGTGGCAATGTTGACGTTCATCTGAGAAGCTCGGAGGAACTCTTTCCCTGCAGGGAAGGACACCAAAGCCAGCGATGCTCAGCTGGTGATCTGGGAGGGTCTCCCTGGTGGCCGGCTACCACCCGGGTCACCCTTTATTCTAAATTTCCAGCATTTCTCCTCCAAACTCAATTTGAGTTCGGATGGACGATGAAGTGTAAAGTCTCCTGCCTTGAGCAGAGGGCTGGACGAGAAGACCTCCACGGTCCCTTCCAGCCCTGTGACCTTAAGTTCTGGGTTCTAAGAGCTGTTCAGCTGTCCACCACCACCAGGGTGGTCACTGGGCCATGTGACAGAAGTTCTTAACGCAGGGGAAAATATTGACATCGATATTTTTTGAGGAATTCCTCTTACCTTTCTGTTTAGGGAAAATACGCTTCTGGCGTTGCAGCTTGGCGTGGGTCTCAACGACCGGCTGGCTGAACGTCACCTACGGAGGAAGGAATAAAAACGGCTGTAGATTAGGGAGGCCCAACCGTGGCAACTTGAAGACTTGCAGACCTCAACTCCCACATGGCTGAGAAAGGCGGTTGTTAAAGGAATCTTGCTGGATTTTACAATCATGTGGCCACAATTATTGAGCCACCTGTGAGAGGAGAGCTGCCCGTACCTCTACGAAGAGCCTCCCCCGGGGTTCGAGAGGAACAGCCAGGTTGTGGCTGGCGTTGTCGAGGAAGCCGTCCAGACGCACAAATGTCACCCCGCAGAGCTGGCGCCAGTCGTGCCAATAAACGGAGACCTCCAGCTCCCGAGACTGCAGGGTGAAGGGAAGAAAGATCAGCATTGCTCGGAAAAGGATCCGTTCTCCGACGTCCTGACTGCAGCACCGGTTTCTCAACAGGGCGCCAGACGTGCGCGCTGTAGTGACGGTGGCCGTGGACTAGCAACCAGCCTGTTGAGCCAGCCTCCCTGCTCAGGGACAAATTCACCCCATCCTCAACTTGCAACCACAGCCGCCTTAACACTTAACGTGTGACTTAACAATGGTCTTGCTTAGCAGTGGAAATGTTGTCACTTGTAAGTCAAGGACGACTCATATAGATACTCTATCTTTGCTCCAAAGTGGATTGCGGTTTCTTCCTGTGGCAAGTGAGGATGCACACTTACTCGCTCCAACTCAACAGCGAAAGTCTGGTTCCACGCTTGCCGGCCAACCGGCCCCCAGTTTGTCTGACCCACAACTTTGTTGTCAACCTTGAGAACGGCAAGGACGTCTCCTGCAAACAGAAGAAAAAAGAAGCAGCGGTGATGTCGGATCTTTGGGGGTCTCCTTGGGAAGAGACTGTGCCAAGCTCCCTAACAGTACAAGCAGTCCTCCTTTAGCGACCACTGGCACTTATTTAATGACTGCTTGAAGTAGTTACAACGGCACTGAAAAAAGTGACTTGTCAGCGCTTTTCACCCAGCTGTTGCCGTACAGTGCCGTACGTACAGTGCCGTATGTATCAAAAGTACAGTGCCGCACGTACATTGCCGCATGTACAATACTGTACAGTGCCGTACGTACAGTGCCGTACCGTACTGTACAGTACAATACAGTACAATAAAATAAAATAATAAACAATAAAATAAATAAATAAAATAATAATTCCTTCCTTCCTCTCTCCCTCCCCTTTCCTTTCCTTTCCTTCTCTTCCCCTTCCCCTTCCCTAACTTAAATACATGATCAATCAAGAATTATAATCCTTACGGAGAAAACAGTTCCATAAACAGGGCATCAGGAATGGGATGCCCAAACAGTTCCTGGCGATATGTAGATTTCCTTGCTGGCTACAAGGCACAAGGGTGGGCACGGAGGCTCCGTTTTAAAGCACGTTTTTCCAACTTTAGTGCAGGTCCTATTTCTAAGCAATAAACTGTGTGAAGGGAGGTGGATCCCTTATGGGGTTTTAAGAGGTGGGGGGCTGTCAGTTTAACTAGCACTTCAGACGCACACAGGCAGGGGCAGATCCCAAAGGCTGCCTGGTTGTGGGATATCATTCTGTTGAAATTTCTGGATTAAAAAAATATATATATCTTTATTATCTGTGAAGGAATGTGTAGCTAAAGAAGGACTCTGTCTGTGTATGTGTGTCTGTCTGTCTGTCTCTCTGTGTGTGTGTCTGTCTGCCTGTTTCTCTCTCTCTCTCTCTTTCTTTCTCTCTCTCTCTTCTGTGTTTCTGCCTGTTTCTGTGTGTGTGAGCTGGCATGTTTTATTTGGATAATAAACCTGATTCCGCTCTGTCTGCTGTCAGTTCCTCTACGGAGGATCATCAACACTCACGGCTGAGTTCCTCCTGGCGAAGGAGCTTCCCCGCAGCCCCCCGGCCGGGGAGGTTGACGCCAGCCCATGTCCGGGTCAAGAGCTTGAAGTCACCAGAGCTCGTGTAAACAGGCACGGAAGTGGCCACACGGGAACGGCCTGGGATCTTCTCCAAGAGGTCTTCACAGCCCACCAAACGGACCAGAAGGCCACCTGCAAGCCAAAGAGAAGAGCCACAAGGCATGAACAACTGTCACAAAAGAGGGTTGTAAGGAAAAATGTTCAAAATATATCACTGAAGGAGAAAATTGCCGTGATTATTCAAATCATTTACCAGAATAAATTCAGAACGGAAAATCCAGCATGAATTAGCCAATAGATCTAAAAGAAATTAGGATTTTATCTCTCTCGGATTGAACAGAGATGTTGGTTCTTTGACTAATTTGATCTAGTTACAATACTCAGAAAACAGGCTTCTGTTTATCTGGAGTACTTTGAAATTTTAGTGGAAATTGGCACAACTTGTCTGCAGCTTTGTTGCCATTTAACTTGGTGTTTACACATAAACACACAACCTGTGAGGATAAGTGAGATAACTTTGTTATTTTACTAAACATAGTTAATCTGTTTTAAAACACCACAACATTTTCCTTATCACAAAAGAACATTCCTTGTTTTGTAAAACAATGGCTGTTAAGTCTAAAATGTAGAAACTGTCATGCAATAAGGCTGGCCAGAGCCACTGTAGGTGAGGAGTGGTGTAGGAAATTGATAAAAGGAAAGGAAAGGAAGAAAAGGAGAAAAAAGGAGAAAGGGAAAGGAGAATTTGAAGGGAAGGAAAGAAATAAGAAAGGAAAAGAAAAAGGAAAAGAGATAAATGGATGAAAAAGGAAAAGAAATTAAATAACAATAAAATCTGTATGGCACTCTTTGCTTCCAGTAATCTATGACTGCATAATTTTTATTTTCTTTTGATTTGCATGCAGGCAGGCTCAAACAGAAAATCATATTTAATGGATCTGATGCAGTGGCTTTAATTAGAATTGGCAAATTCGTACGTTTGCATTTGTACCTTTATAGCTGCTGGAAAGTCGGGATGTTATCAGAAAGCGAATGTCTTCATTTCTTTTTAAAATATCCAGAGTTTTGTTAATCGAATGAAAGTTAAGATTTCATTCTGGCTGGGTTTTTTCCATACACAAAACTCCGGATCAGCGCTTCCTCTCATTCAAAGCGGTTTCCTCCCTTCCAGTCTAATTACATCCTGCCGTGTTATATCAAGGTCTGAATACGCCGAATGGAAAGACACACACAAATATTGAAATAAAGTTAACAGAACAAAGGCACCTGTGAGAGCCGGGGGCTTGATCAAAGTCGGGGACAACTGTTGCACCCCAAGGGAGAAGGTGTCTGTCAGCTCTTGCTTGATCAGCTCCCGTTTCGGGTGATCTGGAGAAAGTTGGCTGAGAAGGTGTTCAAGAGCCAGTCGGAACAGATTGATCTTTTGGGAGGATTCCTGCAGACAGGCCTGTGCCTGGAGCATATCGCAAAGGAGAGAGAAGAGCGGGAGGGAAAAAGGAAGTTTGAACTATAAAAGGACTGGAAATATTTATTGCATAAATAGACAGATAAATAAATAAAATATTTCAAAACCTTTCCTCCACCTAGCTGCCTTGGAACCTTCTCCAGCCCTAAATACTGTATTTTTTTTTAAAGTGTTTTTTTATTTTTTATTTTTAAATATCGTTTCAGTAAGCCATCTGGAGTCAGATGTAATTTGATGGGAGGGCCAACCAGAAATTCCAAGGAAACTGACTAGACTGGAAAACTGAACAGATGGACGTCACAGGCTGGCACGGGGTGTGGTAAGAGAAAATTACACAGAGGTGTCCTTGCAAGTTATGAGCAATTTTAACGTGCAAAATTCAACGCAGATAATTCAAGTATGAGACCCAGTGGATGTTTCTTTAATCCAGCAGTTTCCAGAGGTTACTCTACATTGCTGCAATTTTAGTGCTCGTCTTTGCTGGAGGGTCCTGGGAATTATAATCCAACATATCAGGCCCAGGAAGACCCCTTGAATTGCAGGCTCCACCCTCCACAGGGACTAGAAACATGCAGAGTCACCGACTCTGTTTGCAGAATCTGTTTGCTACAAACGCAAAGCTGCTCTTACCTCTGCCACCATCTTCCGGTCTTGCACCCGCCGTCCGCTGAGGATCTTCACCACGTTTTTGGCTCCCTCGGCCACCGCCGCTTCAATGCGCAGGCGATGCCTCAGTTCTTCGAGACGCAGCTCCAGAAGTAAGAGGGGGGGCCTGCCTCCCACCCCTGCAGAGGCAGAAGGGGGAGTAATCATTGTTCCATTGTACGACTGTTACGATTTACAACCACGATGGGCAGGCTCCATTACAGCCATAAATCAAGGACTGCCTGCCACTGTTGTCCATCTTGCTCTGGGTTCAAAACTAAAGGAGTTAGGAATGGGTAGGAGGCCACCAAGAAATTCCAGGGATTTAGATTAGACAAGGAAGTAAAAACAAGTCCCAGAAGACAGCTGTGCTCCAATCTCTGCCTTATCTTTGTAGCAGGTGAAGGAGAAACATCTGTGAACAGATGTTAGCCACATGCAATTGAACAAGCAGGCTAGAGTTATACCTTCTCTGGAGAAATAAAAACCAACGAACACTGCCCTCTGGAACGAACTACCCCCAGAGATCCGGGTGATCCCGGATCTCCCCTCCTTCCGCCGCGCCCTAAAGACATGGCTCTTCCAACAAGCGGGATTGGCCTAGGGAATTTTAGTGGGGTTTTTAAGAGAAATTTTAATTATATAGGCCATAACAAATATTTCTTTTTAATTCGGTTTTAAATTAGGTATTTATTGTAGNGGTACCTTCCCCACCTTGAGTTATTTATAAAAATAATAAAAGCGGGATAGAAATAAATAAAATAAAATAAAATAAAAAGCAAGTGACCGGCCAGTTATCCCTTTAGGCACTGGGAATCTACAACTTCCCCAACGGAAGCACAGACAGGAGGGGCAAAGGGGAAACTTACCCCCGGATCCGTGGGAGGCGAGACGGGTTCTTTGCGCGAAAGAGGCAGAAAGAGGCGAGGGGGCTTGGGGGGCGGCTGGCCCCCCCAGGTCAGCTTCTCCGGAGGGGCAGGGCTGCATCTGGAAGAGAGGCTCTTTTTTAAACATTGGTAAACTCTCCCTTCCTCTCCAAATGTCTCGGTCAGCCTCGCCCGCCTAACACAGGCCGTCTCAATTTACAGCCATTCGTTTAGTGACCATTCAGAGTTACAATGGCACTGAAAAAAGTGGCTTACGACGGGGTCCTCGCACTTCCAACCATCCAGGATCACAGGATCAGAATTTGGGCAACCGGCCTGTATTTAGGGATGGCTCACCTGGGCGCGCAGGGCCCCGGGCTGTCCTCAGCAGCAGCTGCAGAGCCAACATCTGGATGCAGAGACCCCCGGAAAGGGGGGCTGGAAGCGCTGAAGGAACTACAAGGGGGCAGGAGGCTCATCATCAGGCGTCCCCAGGTGGCAATGTTGACGTTCATCTGAGAAGCTCGGAGGAACTCTTTCCCTGCAGGGAAGGACACCAAAGCCAGCGATGCTCAGCTGGTGGTCTGGGAGGGTCTTCCTGGTGGCCGGCCACCACCCGGGTCACCCTTGATTCTAAATGTCCAGCATTTCTCCTCCAAACTCAGTCTGAGTTCTGATGGACGATGAAGTGTAAAGTCTCCTGCCTTGAGCAGAGGGCTGGATGAGAAGACCTCCACGGTCCCTTCCAGTCCTGTGACCTAAGTTCTGGGTTCTAAGAGCTGTTCAGCTGTCCAGCACCACCAGGGTGGTCACTGGGCCATGTGACAGAAGTTCTTAATGCAGGGGAAAATATTGACATCGATATTTTTTGAGGAATTCCTCTTACCTTTCTGTTTAGGGAAAATGCGCTTCTGGCGTTGCAGCTTGGCGTGGGTCTCAACGACCGGCTGGCTGAACGTCACCTATGGAGGAAGGAATAAAAATGGCTGTAGATTAGGGAGGCCCAACCGTGGCAACTTGAAGACTTGCAGACCTCAACTCCCACGTGGCTGAGAAAGGTGGTTGTTAAAGGAATCTTGCTGGATTTTACAATCATGTGGCCGCAATTATTGAGCCACCTGTAAGAGGAGAGCTGCCCGTACCTCTACGAAGAGCCTCCCCCGGGGTTCGAGAGGAACAGCCAGGTTGTGGCTGGCGTTGTCGAGGAAGCCGTCCAGACGCACAAATGTCACCCCGCAGAGCTGGCGCCAGTCATGCCAATAAACGGAGACCTCCAGCTCCCGAGACTGCAGGGTGAAGGGAAGAGAGATCAGCATTGCTCGGAAAAGGATCCGTTCTCCGACGTCCTGATTGCAGCACCGGTTTCTCAACAGGGCGCCAGACGTGCGCGCTGTAGTGACGGTGGCCGTGGACTAGCCCCCTGGGGTTGGCCGGGGACATTGGTTGCTAGTCCTCAAGACTGCAGGGCGATGTTGAGCCAGCCTCCCTGCTCAGGGACAAATTCACCCCATCCTCAATTTGCAACCACAATCGCCTTAACACTTAATGTCTGACTTAACAATGGTCTTGCTTAGCAGTGGAAATGTTGTCACTTATAAGTCAAGGATGACTCATATAGATACTCTATCTTTGCTCCAAAGTGGATTGCGGTTTCTTCCTGTGAGGATGCACACTTACTCGCTCCAACTCAACAGCAAAAGTCTGGTTCCACGCTTGCCGGCCAACCGGCCCCCAGTTTGTCTGACCCACAACTTTGTTGTCGACCTTGAGAACGGCAAGGACGTCTCCTGCAAACAGAAGAAAAAAGAAGCAGCGGTGATGTCGGATCTTTGGGGGTCTCCTTGGGAAGAGACTGTGCCAAGCCCCCTAACAGTACAAGCAGTCCTCCTTTAGCGACCACTGGCACTTATTTAATGACTGCTTGAAGTAGTTACAACGGCACTGAAAAAAGTGATTTGTCAGCGCTTTTCACCCAGCTGTTGCCGTACAGTGCCGTACGTACAGTGCCGTATGTATCAAAAGTACAGTGCCGCACGTACATTGCCGCATGTACAATACTGTACAGTGCCGTACGTACAGTGCCGTACCGTACCGTACTGTACAGTACAATACAGTACAATAAAATAAAATAATAAACAATAAAATAAATAAATAAAATAATAATTCCTTCCTTCCTCTCTCCCTCCCCTTTCCTTTCCTTTCCTTCTCTTCCCCTTCCCCTTCCCTAACTTAAATACATGATCAATCAAGAATTATAATCCTTACGGAGAAAACAGTTCCATAAACAGGGCATCAGGAATGGGATGCCCAAACAGTTCCTGGCGATATGTAGATTTCCTTGCTGGCTACAAGGCACAAGGGTGGGCACGGAGGCTCCGTTTTAAAGCACATTTTTCCAACTTTAGTGCAGGTCCTATTTCTAAGCAATAAACTGTGGGAAGGAAGGTGGATCCCTTATGGGGTTTTAAGAGGTGGGGGGCTGTCAGTTTAGCTAGCACTTCAGATGCACACAGGCAGGGGCAGATCCCAAAGGCTGCCTGGTTGTGGGATATCATTCTGTTGAAATTTCTGGATTAAAAAATATATATATCTTTATTATCTGTGAAGGAATGTGTAGCTAAAGGAGGACTCTCTGTGTGTGTATGTGTGTCTGTCTGTCTGTCTCTGTGTGTGTCTGTCTGCCTGTTTCTCTCTCTCTCTCTCTCTCTCTGTGTGTGTGTGTGTGTGTGTGTGTGTTTGTCTGCCTGTTTCTGTGTGTGTGAGCTGGCATGTTTTATTTGGATAATAAACCTGATTCCGCTCTGTCTGCTGTCAGTTCCTCTACGGAGGATCATCAACACTCACGGCTGAGTTCCTCCTGGCGAAGGAGCTTCCCCGCAGCCCCCCGGCCGGGGAGGTTGACGCCAGCCCATGTCCGGGTCAAGAGCTTGAAGTCACCAGAGCTCGTGTAAACAGGCGCGGAAGTGGCCACACGGGAACGGCCTGGGATCTTCTCCAAGAGGTCTTCACAGCCCACCAAACGGACCAGAAGGCCACCTGCAAGCCAAAGAGAAGAGCCACAAGGCGTGAACAACTGTCACAAAAGAGGGTTGTAAGGAAAAATGTTCAAAATATATCACTGAAGGAGAAAATTGCCGTGATTATTCAAATCATTTACCAGAATAAATTCAGAACAGAAAATCCAGCATGAATTAGACAGTAGATCTAAAAGAAATTAGGATTTTATCTCTCTGGGATTGAACAGAGATGTTGGTTCTTTGACTAATTTGATCCAGTTACAATACTCAGAAAACAGGCTTCTGTTTATCTGGAGTACTTTGAAATTTTAGTGGAAATTGGCACAACTTGTCTGCAGCTTTGTTGCCATTTAACTTGGTGTTTACACATAAACACACAACCTGTGAGGATAAGTGAGATAACTTTGTTATTTTACTAAACATAGTTAATCTGTTTTAAAACACCACAACATTTTCCTTATCACAAAAGAACATTCCTTGTTTTGTAAAACAATGGCTGTTAAGTCTAAAATGTAGAAACTGTCATGCAACAAGGCTGGCCAGAGCCACTGTAGGTGAGGAGTGGTGTAGGAAATTGATAAAAGGAAAGGAAAGGAAAAAAAGGAGAAAAAAGGAGAAAGGGAAAGGAGAATTTGAAGGGAAGGAAAGAAATAAGAAAGGAAAAGAAAAAGGAAAAGAGATAAATGGATGAAAAAGGAAAAGAAATTAAATAACAATAAAATCTGTATGGCACTCTTTGCTTCCAGTAATCTATGACTGCATAATTTTTATTTTCTTTTGATTTGCATGCAGGCAGGCTCAAACAGAAAATCATATTTAATGGATTTGATGCAGTGGCTTTATTAGCATTGGCAAATTCATTTCTTTTTAAAATATCCAGAGTTTTGTTAATCGAATGAAAGTTAAGATTTCATTCTGGCTGGGTTTTTTCCACACACAAAACTCCGGATCAGCGCTTCCTCTCATTCAAAGCGGTTTCCTCCCTTCCAGTCTAATTACATCCTGCCATGTTATATCAAGGTCTGAATACGCCGAATGGAAAGACACACACAAATATTGAAATAAAGTTAACAGAACAAAGGCACCTGTGAGAGCCGGGGGCTTGATCAAAGTCGGGGACAACTGTTGGACCCCGAGGGAGAAAGTGTCTGTCAGCTCTTGCTTGATCAGCCCCCGTTTCGGGTGATCTGGAGAAAGTTGGCTGAGAAGGTGTTCAAGAGCCAGTCGGAACAGATCGATCTTTTGGGAGGATTCCTGCAGACAGGCCTGTGCCTGGAGCATATCGCAAAGGAGAGAGAAGAGCAGGAGGGAAAAAGGAAGTTTGAACTATAAAAGGACTGGAAATATTTATTGCATAAATAGACAGATAAATAAATAAAATATTTCAAAACCTTTCCTCCACCTAGCTGCCTTGGAACCTTCTCCAGCCCTAAATACTGTATTTTTTAAGTGTTTTTTATTTTTTATTTTTAAATATTGTTTCGGTAAGCCACCTGGAGTCAGACGTAATTTGACGGGAGGGACAACCAGAAATTCCAAGGAAATTGACTAGATTGGAAAACTGAACAGATGGACGTCACAGGCTGGCACGGGGTGTGGTAAGAGAAAATTACACAGAGGTGTCCTTGCAAGTTATGAGCAATTTTAACATGCAAAATTCAACGCAGATAATTCAAGTATGAGACCCAGTGGATGTTTCTTTAATCCAGCAGTTTCCAGAGGTTACTCTACAGTGCTGCAATTTTAGTGCTCATCTTTGCTGGAGGGTCCTGGGAATTATAATCCAACATATCAGGCCCAGGAAGACCCCTTGAATTGCAGGCTCCACCCTCCACAGGGACTAGAAACTAGAGTCACCGACTCTGTTTGCAGAATCTGTTTGCTACAAACGCAAAGCTGCTCTTACCTCTGCCACCATCTTCCGGTCTTGCACCCGCCGTCCGCTGAGGATCTTCACCACGTTTTTGGCTCCCTCGGCCACCGCCGCTTCAATGTGCAGGCGATGCCTCAGTTCTTCGAGACGCAGCTCCAGAAGTAAGAGGGGGGGCCTGCCTCCCACCCCTGCAGAGGCAGAAGGGGGAGTAATCATTGTTCCATTGTACGACTGTTACGATTTACAACCACGATGGGCAGGCTCCATTACAGCCATAAATCAAGGACTGCCTGCCACTGTTGTCCATCTTGCTCTGGGTTCAAAACTAAAGGAGTTAGGAATGGGTAGGAGGCCACCAAGAAATTCCAGGGATTTAGATTAGACAAGGAAGTAAAAACAAGTCCCGGAAGACAGCTGCGCTCCAATCTCTGCCTTATCTTTGTAGCAGGTGAAGGAGAAACATCTGTGAACAGATGTTAGCCACATGCAATTGAACAAGCAGGCTAGAGTTATACCTTCTCTGGAGAAATAAAAACCAACGAACACTGCCAATGGTTGGAAGAGTTTCAGCCATAGATAGAGATGAAATGAATCTACCTTACAAAAGGAGATGATTGTAAAGGGCTGCAAAAAGAAACTCAATGAAAACTTTGATAAGAGTTTGGGTAAAGGGACAAACCTGTCGGGCTGAGGGGGTTACCTGGCGCGTCCGTCGCCTGGGAGAGCTTCAGCATCTCCATCCGGATCAGCTCGAGTTTTGTCTTGCTGTCCTGAAACGTTTGCTGAGCAACGGCCAGGAGTTTCCGCTCCTGGAGAGGGAAGAGGGATTCCGAGGGGAGGAACATCAAGAGCATCGTCAGGTGTGCAAAATCAGGATCGTACTTGAAGCTCCAGTTCAGCTGATGTATTGCTCAGGCCTGTAGCCAAGAATCTAGTTGAGTAACGGCCAGCACTAAATTGGCACTAGACTCAGTCACTGGAACTTTACAGAATGAGAGAGCTGGAAGGGGCCTTGGAGGTCTTCTAGTCCAACCCCCTGCTCAAGCGCAAATGGTACCCAACTCACCTTCGCTGTGCTGGAATAGACCTGGATCATGTTCTCAGCTCCCTGCTTCACTTTCAGCTCTATGTGAAGCTGCTTCTTCAACGCTTCCAGCCTTTTTGAAACGTGGTTGGGATCTTTTTCCCAAAGCTTGAGGTCGGGTGGCCCTTTTGCATCTGGGGAGGACACAAAGGCCAATCAATAAGAGGCGACTAAACCGCAGCCACTGGCTGGGAGACCACACAGAGATTCTAAACTTCCGGAATTCCCCAACCAGCACTGCTTTAAGAGGCACGGATTTCAACTCCTAGGATTCCCCAGCTGCCAGACTTTAAGACAGGTAAATGACAACTCCCAGAACCCCCCAGCTGGCATTCTTTAAGGGGCATGGACTTCAACTTCCAGAATTCCCCAGCCACAAACACTTCCACATCCCACCTGCTTGGCCACTGTTTCTCTCCCCAGTAACAATCCGTGCTTGGAGTGTTTGGAGCTGGCAATTCAACTGCTCCAACTTCTGGCTGGACGACTTCAGCGCCGTCTCCACATGGGCCAAATTCTTCTTGTCCTTGGTCGCCCTCCGCAAATTCTCAGCCCCTTCCTTGATTTTCAGCTCTTTCTGAATGGCCCGGCGGACCGATTCNTAAACAAACAACTCCTGGAAGTTGGATAAAGAGTGGCGGGTGCAGGAAAGTCTCGCCCATGGAGGAAGCAGACCGGATTTCGGAGGAAACGCAGCTTGGCTTCAGGTTTGCCAAGGGCGAAGGGGGTGGGAGGGTGATTTGGGGGGGTGGGAGGCTTTCCAACAAGCAAAGTCAGTGGGAGAAGCTGGATTCACTTAACGACCGTGTGATTCAGTTAACAATTGCAGCGATTCACTTAACAACTGCGGCAAGAAAGGTTGTAAAATAGGGCAAAATTCCCTTAACTGTCTTACTTAGCAACGGGAATTTTGGACTCCGTTGCGATTGTAAGTCAAGGACTGCTTGCTCGTACACTGTTTCTCAGTCTCTGCAACTTTAAGATTGGGGGGGGGGCTATGCTGGCTGGGGAATTCTGGGGGTTGAAGTCTCCCCGGGGAATTCTGGGGGTTGAAGTCTCCCCATCTTAAAGCTGCAGAGATTGAGAAACATTAAATTATGGGCACCATTGTTGCCCTCCCCACACCTGAGGATGTCCGTCTCCCCTGCCCACCTAAACCACAATTCCCTGCCTAGCCTAACACAACTGGCTTCCGTTCCACACAACAGAGGGGAGGCAGCCCCACCAGAGCCAAAAGCGACAGGGAAGCCAGCAGCATAAAGGGGTTCCTTGTCCAAAAGTTTGGACACCCCGTTCATCTACATCCCATTGCTTGAGCCGGGGAGGGGGGGGGGAGAGAGAAGGACCGCAGAAGGGGCCACATTCACACAACCAGGCATTCAAGGCAGATTAAAGACTCCCTCCCTTGTAAAGCCGGGGGCCTCCCAAACAAGCCAGTCCAGAGTCACGAATTCTCCCCCAGCCAGCCAGCCACCCAACACGCGCGTTGAACGTCGGAATGAAACTCCCCCCCCCCCCCCTCTGCCAGTCTCCCCACGACGGGGAGGCAGCAGTCCCGGCCGGTCAGAAGGCGCAGGCCGGGGGGGGGGGCGCTTTGCCAAGGCGCACCTGCTCTGCTCTGCGCGGCGCCTCCCGCACGCTCACCTGTTGGATTCGCCCGGCCGCCATCGCCGCAGCCCGTCCAGCTCCGGCGGGGAACTTTTTCAAACTTGGCCCGGCCCCGCGGAGGAAACGCGGCGCGCATCTCGCGCCCTCTGCTGGCTCTCCGTCCCGGCCGGAGCCCGGGAAGCCCCCGAGGAGACGCCGCGCCGTTCCCCAGGCTGCCTCGCCCGCCTGGCTGGGGGGCTTTTGGCCCTGCCCTCTGGGGCTTTGGAGGGGAGGCGGAGCCCCTCCTCTTCTCCGGGGCAGCCCCTCAAACACCGCAGGACTGCTCTCATGCCCCCCTCCTCTTCCTGCCCCCCTTCTTCAGATGTTTGGGCCTCCAGCCCCCCCCCCCCCCAATCGTTCAGAACAAGGTGGGCAAAATACTTTCCTT